AGCCTCTGCTCCCAGCCGGCCGTCGTGTGAGTCCTCTCCTCCAGGGTGGTGGTGGGCTCTCCCTTCGGGCTGAGGATCCACAGAGGGAAAGACCCCTTTTCAAGACAGGGGATGGAGGCTGGCCCCGGGGACAGGGGGGGATGGGGGGCCAAGAGGTGCTGGGTGATGCTCGTGGGCTCGCACCAGTCGTGCTCCATCGCTGCCGACGTGATGGGCATGCTGTGCTGCATGCCTAAATTCTGCTGCTCCTTGGGAGAGGCTGGGTTTGGGGCAGGGTTCCCCTCCATGCATTGCTCTCCCACTGAAAACTCGCCTCTTTGCACGCCACAGGTTTGTCACGAGGAAGGGCCGCGAAGTCTGCGCCAACCCCGAGCAGGATTGGGTCCAGCAGTACGTGAACGATCTGGAGCTGAGCTGAGGTGCTGGGACAGACCCTGCCGCCCTGCATCCCCCGGCTGCCCGGAGGAGCGAGCCACGGCCAGCTGTGGGCTCCGTTGGAACTGCTTCAATGTCATTTAAAGCTAGTTAGGAAATTGAAAATGTTCCAGAATCTGACTTTCGTGTTTTGCTATTTAATTTTTTATAGGGGAGGGATCAGGTGCAATAACTCCATTCCAGACAAATAAGAATATTATTTTATTGATATATTTTTTAAATGAAGACTCATGCTCAGGGTATATTTTCTGTATTTAATTAATTGTATTTTTGATGTAATATTTAACTCAAGTTTTGAGAAATAAATATTTTTGTAAGAACTTTCTGTCTTTGCCTCTATTACAATTCTTTGCGATGACAATAGCTGAAATGATAATAGTGGCAACGTGTTCTTTATTCCCTTTTCTATGCTGTCAAAACCCCCACAAGCTTTCCCTATCCAAACGTGCTGTTTTGCAAAATAAGAAGAGAAAAAACATGAAGGAGGAGGTGTGAGAAGGGCATAGATTACATTCAGGTAGCTTGGCTCACTCTTTTTATAAGGTATTTAATCACTACTCATTATGACTACCGGCAGCTAGTTAAATTCCATCACTGGCCCCATTATAGTCAATTAAAATGTTACCTTTAGGGGCTGGATTTTAACATGCTGGCTGTTTCAGGGAAAGTTTTCTGAGAGCTGCAGCTAAAGTGGATCGGTTATTCCCAGAGCTGAGAATGGAAAAAATACGTATCACTACAAGATTTTTAGAACTATTTCATTAAACTCTCATTTAGCTGGGACATGAGGCTTAGCAGATGTGTCCCTCTCACGAGAACAGGTGCTTTTTCTCCGTGCCTCCAAAACCTGCCCATCTCTGGAGATGCCTGTCCAGAGAGGCAGTGTCCCCCTGCAATCTCCCTGCCAGACCCCAGCCCCAGGGCAGGATCTGCCCCTGCAAGGAGGCATCTCCACTGCAGCCCTGGGGCTGGTCTCCCACTGGAGCTGAAGGAGACGGAGCCCACATCGCCGGTGGCATTTCGATTGCTCTGACCGGCTCTGGACATGCACTGTGGGATGAGCAACGAGGGTTTGGGTTCCTCCTGCCTGGACCTCTGGTGCCTATAGGGCAGCCCAAGGAAAAAGGCTCAGGTCAGAGACTCAGCTCACCCCACAGCATCTACATGCTGAATTTGGGAGGACAGACATGAACGTCAGTGAGACACAGGGTGGCAAGGCAGGAGGGGGGCTCCTGGGGCAGGGGTGAAGATGAGAAGACAGAGGGCAGAGGCTGGGTGGGAGCCACGCAGCAAGCGGAGCCTCAGGTGGGGCTGGAAAGGACCAGGGGGACGTGGGTGCATTTGGGGGAGGAAGGAGCGTATCGGTTGTGTCAGGAGCCTTGTCACTTCAGGAACTGCAGCCCCCAGCTCCGCAGCCCACGGGGCGGCGTGCACCCCATCAGTCATCCCGCTGCAGCGCTGACTGCACCCAGCTTAAAGTAGCATCCGAGGAGGTGGGGGGGTGAAATGGAGAGCTGTGCCAGCAAGCAGGACCCGAGCCCCCTTCCCCGCGGAGCTGCTGGGAGAGAGCCCACGGCTGGGTGGTTCAGGTGGGCATCAGCACGAAGGCAGCTGTGCCTTGGTGACAAGGAGCTGCTCCTGCATGCGAGGGCAGTGGCTTTGGTCACAGCCCTGACTGCCCGGGCACTGCATGCCCCAGGCCAGGTCCGGGAGCAGGGCTCATGGTGGCCACACTGGAGGTGAGGACACCTCGGCCGCTGGGTACCAGCCAGGCCCCTATCTGAGTGCCAGAGCCCGGTAACTTCACTCTGAGGACCGAGATTGGCACAAAGCTGAGTGCCCAGACCTACCCTCCCTCCAGGGAACAGCAGGGGACAGAAGTGGGGACACCTGCAACGGGGTCATCCCAAAATGGCTTGAGCCTCCACAGTCCCTCTTGGATACAAGCCCCATCTGTCCCTGTGGCACTGGGAGCAGTCCCACAGCCTTGGGGTTTCTTGTCGAAGGACACTCAGTGCAGGGTCATCCGGGGAGCACCATCCAGCCCCTGCACTGTTTGAGCCTGTTGCAAACAACCCCACGCGCCAACGTCCTGAACAACCCAGGTCACACTCAAGCCACCCACAGCAGACACCTACCCGGGGTACCTCAGCTAACTCCTCACTGCTATTCCGGGAGCCTGCAGGGAGTCCTGAATTGCTCATGTCTTTCTTGATCTTACACCCGCCTACGCATGACAGCTCAGAGGAGCCCTCAAAGTGCATGCAAGGAATACAGCGTGCTCATTAATCCACACCCCCGGGCACAGAGGTGTGAACGAAGCCTGCACGAGCGAGGCAAAGGCAGCCAGCAGCTCTCAGCAAGCTGGCAGCTGCCTCCAAGCCCCGCAAGCAGCAGCGTGCGCGTGGAGAAAGCATCCCTGGCGATCTTCAGAGCCCCCACGTTTTGCAAAGGAGGAGGAGGAGGGGTGTAGGAAGGTGGCCCGGAGCAGGGACAGGCAGGGGCTGCAGTACCCTTGTCATCATTAGCTCAAATCTGCATCCAGGGATTACCCTGCCCAGAGTAGGGGATGTATTTGCCACATACATTGAGACAGCTATTTGAGGCTGACCTTGCTGCTACAGCTGAGTGATGCAAGAAAGCCCTCACACGGTGCAGCCCTTGGAGGAGCCCCGGGATGCCTTGGCGCTCATGCATGGGTCTCAGGGGCTAATCATGGTGCTCATCCCTCCCAGAAACAGCCTCGCGGGGTGCTCAGGGAGCACCCACTGGAGACGGGGCAGGTGAACGCAAGAAGCAGAGGGCAGCAGATGAAGAGAAAGCGGAGGCTGGGACCCAAGAGGAGGGTGGCTTGCAGGGGGTTTCCTCTGGATTCACACCAAGACAAGAACAATGGTGTCAAGGGTTTCAGAATTTGTAAACTACTAAAAAAGAGACTCATCCTGAAACCAGAGTGTGGTATTTACTGAATATTTTGTGCAATGTATATGAAAGTAAATATTTTTAATGAATACCCTGGGAAGGCCTAGCTGTGAACAAAAATAAAATCATTACTATGATAAGCATAACACCATTATTATAATATACATGCACATCTCTATATATTTGTTGTTTATATCACCCTGATGTGTCCATAGGCATTTTGAGGTATAATGACAGCCAGGGGGGTTGGAGGTTGGAGTCTGGCTTTGCACAGAAGGCAGAGCTGGACTGTGCTGATGGACATACAGATTGATGGCAATCAAGGTTCATGGTCTGATGGCTTTTACATCTCCACTTTTTCAGAGAGGAATTAGACACCCTGAAGGCAAAATGCCCGCGTGCTCAGAAGTGCCAGCTCTGCGCCTCCCTCACCATCCCAGGGACCAGGGCCCCAGCTCGCTGCAGGGAGGGGAGGCTCGGTCCTCCACCCGAAACGGCTCTTCCCAGGGACACCAAGATGGGGGACTGTCGTGGTTTAACCCCCGCCGGCAACTCAGCCCCGCACAGCCGCTCGCTCGCTCCCCCCGGTGGGATGGGGAAGAGAATCAAAAGAGTAAAAGTGAGAAAACTCATGGGTTGAGACAAAGACAGTTTAATAGGTAAAGCAAAAGCCATGTGTGCAAGCAAAGCAAAACAAAGAATTCATTCACTCCTTCCCATGGGCAGGCAGGAGTTCAGCCATCTCCAGGACAGCAGGGCTCCATCACGCCTAACGGTTACTTAGGAAGACAAACGCCATCACTCCCAACGTCCCCCCTTTCTTCTTCTCCCCCCAGCTCTATATGCTGCGTGTGACGCCATGTGGTAGGGGATGTCCCTTTGGTCAGTTGGGGTCAGCTGTCCCAGCCGTGCCCCTCCCAGCTCCTCGTGCACCCCCAGCCTCCTCGCTGGTGGGCTGGGGTGAGGAGCAGAAAAGGCCTTGACTGTGTGTAAGCACTGCTCAGCAGCAACGAAAACATCCCTGCGCTATCAACGCTGTTTCCAACACAAATCCAAAACAGAGCCCCATACCAGTTACTATGAAGAAAATTAACTCTATCCCAGCCAAAGCCAGCACAGGGAGCGTCTCTCTTCTGCGGGGCCAGCACCCAAAAAAGGCATGTAAAAGTGAATGGTTTTGCATGCTGCATACAAAAGTAATGTTTTCCTAAAGTAGCGATATATCCCAGACTTTCAGGGCTGAGGAAGACACAGAAGTATTATGCTAGAAATGGTGCCTGGCTATCACCTTCCCCGTAACGGCCAAGAGAAGGCAGAACTGGCAATGAAGACCCAAAAGAACATTTCTGCTCAGTTCTTAGAAAGACGCAGACGACTACTCACATTCCCCTAAGATGACAAAGCATTTTCCACTATACTAGAAGAGAAAGAAAGATGTTAACGTTTGTTGAGAAAACACATTTCTAAAGCTGCAGGTCTGTAATTTTTGCTGTGGAGAATCTTAACAGGGGACACAGTCAGCGGCGCTGGGTGACAATACTACCCTGGGAGGTAAAGCCTAAAAATGTGACATTAATCTACTGATTGCTCAGAAAAACAGCTCCCTGATCACCCAACCCGAACCCACGGCTGTTCTGCCAGACGTGGTATCCCGAGGGATTACTGCCTTCAGTAAAACCAGACACCTTGAGCAGATCAGTCCTGGGACCCACCACAGCAAGAGACTGTCTCAACCCAAAATGTCCCTGCAAAATATAGGTATATGCATATGTATATGCCCATCTTCTTTCAGCATATGGAAATCAAATGGAAACGGTGTGACTGTGATTAGCCTGGCACATACAGGTCAGCCCCTTTGGTAATAAATAACCTTACGATGCCATGTGAGGGTCAGCTTGCTTGGAGCTGGGGAGCTGGGGAGCAGGAGCGCTTGCGGGAAGACCCGCATGCTCAGGTCGGACTGCGCTGTGCCGTGCAGCCATCCCTCGCGGCTGGGGCGGGTGGTCCGAGCAGGACCCGGTCCTTGCTGGGCAGGATCTGTGTGGAGGCCAGAGCCAGGCAATAAATGCATTTCCACCGAGGACAGGGGCAAACTTGACTTGTCGTGCCTTAAACAGAAAACCTGCTTGCAAATAGCTTTAGGAACAGCTTTAGCTTTAAGTTAGCAGGGAGCTCTAAAAGCCAGGTTCCAGGGCTCCTGGCTTTTCTCTAGCTGCCCGTTGTCAACCTGTCTGGGCATCTCAGGGCAGAATGGTATCTGCCCCGAGCAGTTTCTAGTTGCAGGTGATGTGGAGAGTCCACCAGATGGAAAATTTTATAGCACTTGCAGAGCTATCTCATGCCTTCAACCTTTAGTCTCCTTCCTGGGAAAGGCAGATTAATGATTTCTAGGAACGCTTTGGATGCTGCATCAGGGTGAGTTCATATCCTTTCTGTTCATTCATTTCTTCCCCCTCTTTGCAAGATCTCTGAACTGTTGCACTTCCTTCTGCCTCTTCTGGAAACGCTCTTCGTCCCTCCAGCGCCGCAGCAAGTGCCACTCATCTGTCACCTTGCCATGGTCAGATTGCTCTTGCTTTCTGGACAGTTTCCATCCCACCACCTCCTCCCGCCCCTGGTTCAGTGACATTTAGCCTGGTCCCTTCCCAACTGTCACCCTGCACAACAGGTTTCCCTGGCTGTCCTCATCGCTCCCCCCCACAACCGCCTCTGCTTCCAGTCCTCTGTCAAGACCTCAAAGTTCATGTCCTTTCTTATCTTCTCCGGCACCCGGCAGTGCAGCACCCACACCCATACAGACGTCCCCTTGCCTTCACCCCAGGCCTCAGCATTGCGAGGCTGAAGCATGGCCAACTACCATGGCCGAATCCCTGCCTGGCGGGTGCCCGTCTTGCTGTGGTGTCCTTTGCTGATGCCACAGCGGGATCTCTCAAGGACCCTCTCTGGGCTTGAGAGGACCAAGTCCAGCAGGACCCTTTGACCTCTGAGATGTTGCGGATTAGCTGGGGCTAACAAGCAGGGATGGACGCATCACAAAACCACACTGCACAAGGCTCCCCAAACCAACCCTTTATTGCCTTGTTCCAGTATAATTCACACCAAAATCAGCACTACGCAGCAGGCTGGGCACGCATCCTTCTCCAGCAGCCCGTGAGATGAGCGGCAGGGCAGCGGTGGGCAGCGGGGTCTCCTGTCCCCACTGGCAGCACGGCGGGTTGTGGCACGTCCCTGCTGCAAAGCGCCCTTCCCAGCAACGGGCACGGCACGCGGTGGGTGTTGCACTTGGCGGGTCCCCCCCTGCAGCCAGGAGCACGCGGGGACCCTGCCATGACGCCCACCACGGCACACAGCTATTTCCCCGGTGCTGCCCCGCTCACAGGAGGAGCCGGTTGGGCTTCCAGGTCTCTGCCCGCCGGTGAGAAGCCAGGGCAGCTGCTGTCACAGGACGATGCACCCGGTCCCCTGCGTGTCCCTGACCCAGGAGATCACCAAGGGCTCTGCATTTCTGCCCCCCAAAAAGGCACCCAGGAAGAAGAGAGGCCGGAGGTTCCCCGAAAACTTGTCGGTGAAGGTGTAAATATGGGAGCGGTCGCTCACGTTGTAAAAGGAGATTTCTCCTGCCTCGTAGTCCAGGAAGATCCCGATGCGCCGGGGTCTCACGCTCAGGGTCAGAGGGGAGATAGGTGAAAAAAAATCATAGTTGCCCCCATTTTGCAGCCGCAGCACCCAGTAGCCATTGTTTGGGGAGAAGAGGACGATGCCTTTCCGGCTGGCAGACTCCCTGCACAGCCCCAAGCCCCACTCGGGCTTGTCTCCCACCTGCACCTCCCAGTAGCAGCGGCCTGAGAAGAAGACCTGACTCCCCAGCACCACCGGAGCGGTGCCGAACCTCTTGGGGTTGTCAAAGAGGGACAGAAGCAGTTTCTTGCTCCCGCGCCTCACGCTCTTGCGGTCCTCGGACAGGGTGAGCTCAGGGTGTGCCGTCTCGGGGTCCAGAGTCACGTCCACTGGAGCGAGAGAAGGGTGGAAGGACAGACGGGGCTTCAGGGGTCTGCAGGTGCGGACACGAGCGGGTGCCTGCGACCTGGATGCTGGGCTCTTCCAGATCTTCCTACCTCCCACATTTATTTGCTTGTGCCTGTGGTTTTGCACAGCTCCCAGCGCTGCCCGGCAGCGGGGAAGTGCAATACAGAAAATCATGCCAACCATAAACCACATCAAAATATTTGGCACCTGGCTGCAGAGCGGGAACAGAAGGAGGGCGGCTCCGCAGCCCCCGGCACAGCTTCAGAAACAGCCAACACTGAAACCAAGAGTTCGTGGGCAACACAGAGCCTGAAACTCCTGAGTGACCTCCTAGGCTTCAGGGTCACCTCACAACCCATCCAAGACCAGAACGAGGAAGGTCTCCCCATCATGAAACCAGCCTGAACTCATCAGTACACAAACTGGGACCAGCTGGACAAAGCTTGTTGCCAAAACCTCCCCGTGCCCCAGGCAGGGGTGACACCGGAGCCCGAATGCGCCAGGAGCTGGCACAAAAGCAGCCCCCTTACCTTTGAACTTCTTCAGCATGTCCCTCATGCCCAGGCAGCGCTCAGGGATGCTGTAGTTTTCCTTCAGGGTCACAGACACAGCCTTGGGGGACTGGAGCTTTACCCCCTCGCACCTGAAAGGAGAGCGATGCCCACGGGCTGTGTCCAGAGCCCACCGCACGGCCCGTCTCCTGGGGCGAGGGGTTAATGCCTTTCTGTTGGCTGCACAGATGCATCTCCTCCCTTGAGCTCTTCAGCTGTGCAGGTTATCCCAGGGATAACCACTCGCTTATCAGCAAGCCCGATGGGACCAGAGCTAAACGATGCGGGGAGCGGCAGCGCCAGTCCCTGGGAAGGAAGGAGCAAGGCCAGCTGGGCAACATGTCCCTTAGGAGGGGACGCATCCCACACACCACAAGGCCAGACAAGACTTTGGCTCTGGGGCCCTGGAAGAAGAGGATGGAGTCTCTTCTCCAGCCCCCGCTGGTCTCAGTCCCTCCTTTGTCAGCCCCAGGGAGGACAAACCAGATGCTGGGCAGGGAGGACAGGGGGTGGCTGGCATGGAGCAGACACGAACATCTCAGAGCCTGGAGGCAGCCAGGACAGTAGGAGGAACGAGCATGGGGTACCTACCTGCTCAGGACGCTTTTCATGTCCTAGAAGGAGAAGAGAAAAACCGTTCTGGGTGTGGGGCTCCAGAGCCTCGTGCCCACCAGCCAGCCTGGCCCTGGCCACCGGCCCAGACGGCAAAGGCATCGTGGGGCTGGTGGCATAGCCTGACCTTGAGCAACCTGTCGGCTGGCTGCTGGGTCTTCTCCTTTATCTCCAGGATCAGCTCCTCCAGCAAGGACTTCTGCTCCACCAGCCGGGCCAGGTTTTCATTGATCGTCAGCAGAATTCGCTTCTCCTCCTCCTCCAGCTTCTGGAGCAGCAGTTTCTCCTCATCAACCAGCAGCCGATGCAGCTTCCCAAACTCGCTCACAATCCTCTCCCGCTTTTTCTTCACCGTCTCCTTGTGATAAGAAGATACACAGGGTGAAGCGAGGCAATGTTAACCAGGCAGCGGAGACACAGTCGGATTCTCCAAGCATCCATGCCTGGCATCAGGTCCTGGGAAACCACCGCATTTTTTTGATAAGCACATTTATTTAAAAAAACAGCCAGAGGCTACCTGCTGTACTTTCACCTCGCCTGGGTTCCCACTTGACATCCTCAATTTACCAGCAGTAGGACTTTGCCTGGGGCATTTCTGCTCAGCTGGACCTCAGATGTCTAGTGACGTTTTGGTCCAGCACGAGGGGACTGCGGGGGCTGCTGGGCTGCAAGGAGAAGCTGGTGAAGGGCCTGGAGCACAAGTCTGATGAGGAGCGGCTGAGGGAACTGGGGCTGTTTAGCCTGGAGAAGAGGAGGCTGAGGGGAGACCTCATCGCGCTCTACAACTACCTGAAAGGAGGTTGTAGCGAGGTGGGGGTCGGTCTCTTCTCCCAAGTAACAGCGGTAGGATGAGAGGAAATGGCCTCAAGTTGCGCCAAGGGAGGTTTAGATTGGACATTAGGAAAAATTTCTTTACTGAAAGAGTGGTCAGGCCTTGGAACAGGCTGCCCAGGGAAGTGGTGGAGTCACCATCCCTGGAGGTATTTAAAAGACGTGTAGATGAGGTGCTTAGGGACATGGTTTAGTGGGCATGGTGGTGTTGGGTTGATGGTTGGACTCGATGATCTTAGAGGTCTTTTCCAACCTTAATGATTCTATGATTCTATGAGATGCCATCAGGTGTCTGGGTAGGTTTTTATTAGATGTGGTATAACTCATCCCTCCAGCTAGATTCAGGCTAATCTGCTGCTCAGGCAGTCCGGAGGAAACGCTCCATGTCTGGAAAAACCCACAGCAATGGGAAAGAGGTGGAAGAAGCCCTGGGGCTGGGGAGGGATGGAAAGGGAGAGCCAGGGAAGACTCCCCGGCTGTCTGAGAGCTCTAACTACAGCCAGCACCAGGCAGGGTCTGCCGGTGCTTTAGGGTTTTTCGCCTGAGCCCTAAAAATTGGCACTTTGCTCAAAACCTGAAGCACCAGGAAAACACGCTGTGGTTAGCTAGGACCATGAAACCTCAAAATGCAGAAGATAAACAAAAGGAAACTGAACTGCATTTATTCTTCTGTCCAAGCACATGATTTCTTGGACCTGAGTCACGAAGGCTTGATAAGCCCGGACGGTCACAGCCACTTCCCCCCCACCACTTGCAAGGGGCATTTTTTCCTTTTTACTAAAAAAGTGCAACCAGCCACCGGGCCAGGAGGAAGCTGGAGGCAGCTGAGCCACAGCCCCAGAGCCCTGACTCAGGCGGGTGGGGGGAGAGTGACATGGCTTTTTCACAACCTCCATGCCTGGCCCCATCCCAGCCCTAAGGGGGACGGCGGGCATGCAGGGGCACCCCAAAAACCCACCACCCTTTTGGCTGGGCTGCGGCAAGCAGGCAGGGAAGCTGAGCAAATAACTAGGGGAGTCCGGAGAAACCTGTTTTCCCTGCCAAAGCTGATTAATCATCAACTCTAGCTCAGGGCTGGATAACCCGGTCCAGCAGTTTCGTTTCCTTTTCTGCAGTTACTTTTACTTTCCAGCTTCCACCCTGGAGGGACGTGAAATGCAGCTGTTTTGCTGGCATCGTATCTCCCCGGGACTGCCTGGAGTCAGGCAGAGGGGCGGGGAGCGGTAATTCAGCTTTTCTTTTTTTTTAATGAAAACACTTCTAGTTCCTATTGCTGTGAAGCAGAGCTCACCGTATGGCTCACACCTGGCTTGGAACTCAAGCGCACGTCGTAAAACAAAGGGCAAATAAAAAATATCCAGTGTTTATTTGTTTAACCGGCACACAAGCCGCCGTGGTTTCGGTGGAGCTGGCGTGTTGCTCTTTGCAAAGCATTTCTTTGCAAACCTTTTTAATTTTTTTAAAGAGCCGCACACAGTCACTGAGCCTGGTTTCCAGCACCAGTCCTCCATACAAAGCAGGACATGGGGACATGTCCCACCCTGAGGACTATGCCAAATTCATGGCCCCAGACCAGATCATAACTGCTGATATCTCTGAAGCCCATTCTTTAAGAATCAAGCCAGGCACCTGCCTTGCACTCCTGGGTTTTCATCCTTTCTGCTGACTCACGCTTCTTCAGGTCCTCCATTTCCTTCAAAAGATGCTCCAGGGATTTCTGGAGTTTGACCTGAAAAGAGAAGAAACGGGCTCAGCTCGCCCTAGCAGCACCCGCCGAGTGCCGCAGTTCAGCCGGGCCCCCTCCGCCCTGGGGCTGCTGGTGCCAGCGGGCAGCCAGGGGACGGTGACCCCGTGCCAGGCGGTGCCAGCCCTGGCACCCGAACCCAGCAGCTGTGCTCTTCACTCCGCTCGCAGCGTTAACCCCCTCCACGCTCCTTGGGTTTTCCCCATATTTTTCTCACTGTTTAGGTTTTGGAGAACCAAGTGACCGCTCCCCACAATGCCAGGGCGTGGGGAGCATCGCTGGGACATGGGGTTTGGGTGCACCCCTCCATCGAGGTGAAATGTCC